GCGTTGCAGCGCAACACAAGAAGACGAAATGGGCAAAGTTTATTTGACCAACCTGGATTTCCTCAAGAATGGGGTGCCCGCAAGCGCTATCGCCACGATGGTAACGTCCTCACTTTGGTGCTTCATTTGAATGTATGCTCATGACTTGCAGGTTGTCGCTACTGTAGGTTATGCCCTCATGAGGCTTGTCTTAAAGTGAGCGCGTCCCAATCTTGGTTGTCCTTTGATATCTAACGATGCTACAGGCTTTGAATTAGCCGCCCACTGCGTTTGACATCTATACATCTTCTATCGCAACTACCTCTCTTGGTCACTGGGAAATATCTTGCATTCACATTCGTAATCTGCTCGTTAATGGTCGTCAAGAGAAATACTAGTACATGATGGTCGCACAAAAACCCAAGTCGTAAGATGGATAAGACATTGTTGCAGAAGACCAAAGGAATATCACAAATGGGGGCGTCGTCCCGCGATACGCCCAAAGATAAATTGCGCGACTATTGCACAGACGCCTACCCCAACAACGACAAGATAGGGTGGCAAGGTGGCAGCCGATGAACTGCTAGGCGATGATGGTAATTTAGGCTCAGAGTGATTCTCAACGATTTGGGGTAAACTTTCTGTCCCTTTTCTTCGTTCGGCTTCCTGAGTTTCCAGCGTAGCTATCCTTCGTTCTGTTTCTTCTAAACGCCGGCACACGTTATCCCAGAGCGAACGCGGTACGTTTATTGGATTGCCTTGGATTGCCATCGTATCCCCCAAAGGTTCTACGCTTGGTGTTACGATCAGAGCGCTAGCAGGCACGCGGCGACTAGTCCCGCCGGGGAACTCTTCCTCCCACGCTTTTGCGCCCCACGAGGTTGCGCGGAGACGGCCTTCCCGAGGTTGTCCGCCCTCTTCAAGGAGTGCCTCGATCGTTGGCTCGTCTTCGCACATTCCCCCATTGACCCCGCCGGGAACTTTTGGCCGTGGGGCCAAAAGGTAATCTGCCTGGGAAGTAATAGGCAACTCGGCGAGTAGAGAAAGGAGTGGAGTCTCAATGGGTGCGGTATCGTTAGTGCTCTGTGATGGAGGAGCCGGAGGGGAGGAAACCAAGTTTGCCGCCGGCTCCGATGTTCCAGGCGGGCACGAGGTCGCATTATTGATCAAACAGTCCGCTGGTTCGTGCCCAATAATTGTACGGTTTCTGGTGGCATCAGGTTCGTAATCTTCCTCACTCTCTGAGGTCATTTCTCCACTGGCGAACCCTGCGCTCTCATTTCCACGAAATCTGTCGAGCTCTGGCGCACCGGCGGCCCGCTCCAAATTCCGGATGATTTCATGGACACGCCCATAGGTCGAGCTAGTATTCGACGAGATGGATTGGCCACGAGAGCGATTACGTCGATGGGAAGGCGTATATTCCGACGAATGAGAGTCGAAACTAACCGTTGAGGAGCTTCGAGATAGACATACACCCGAGCGATATTGGCCGAGATCCTTGGACTGGGATACCGAGGGTTGAGTAGTTGAAAAAAGGACGGATCCCTGGACGCTTGTCTCTTCACGCTCGTGAACAGTACTCGGCATGCGACGCCCAGGCTCGTGACTTGAACGTGGTTCATTGAATATGTCGGCTTCTTCTTCCGGTCCGAACCCCCAAATGCGACCTTTCAGGAGGCTCTTGCGTAGTTCCAGAGAGGACGACAATAGCACGTTCCGCCAAAGCTGATTTATTCCCATTCTTCGCGTAAAGTTCTCATAGATAAGTTTTGATTTGCATGTGTCAAGCGATGGCTGGACTCACTCTTCGAGATCTTTGTTGGCTAATCGTAAGAAAGTTCGACCGTTAAGCTTAGACTTGATCACAAAGTTCGCGATCTCTTGGGCTACCGGTTTGGGAACAGTGACTATTTCGCTCGACTTGGTCGCTTTGAAGCGAAGCGCTGTAAGTAGATACTGTGCTAATTGAGAGGGGGTCCACAGTTTCGGATTATCCTACAAGCTCCAGGTCGGTCTAGTATATAGGCGTATAGATCGAGGAACTTACGGGAAGATTTGGCAGAGCCGACGATCTTCCAACGCGCTCGCCATATGCACGAGGAGGCATTGACTCGCTGCGTTGCAGTTTCCATTGACGGATCACCGTCTCTGCTCGATCGCCAGAGTCCTCTTTGTTGCTAGTGTATCCGGAATCAGCCTGCCCTCTTGGCAGTGGAAGCGGCGGCGGGGTAGCTTGAGAGTTCAAACTTTTTGTGTATCTATGGCCGCGACTTTGTGAATGGCGCCTGAGACTAGGACTAGATGGAGAAGACATGATAGGAGACGAGACAGATGGAGCGACATAGGTCGAATTCGAGCGTATATATCCTGACGAAAATGAGGTGCGAATGTACGGACGAGAATGTTCAAGTTGCAAGGACGGAAACGACACAGATGGAGAGGGCGGTGATAATGGAAGTGGAGGGTACGTCTCAGTCATTTCCGTCATGTTGAAAGAGGCTCCTAGCATATGCTTAATCCCAAGTATGTCGCGTTGTGATACACGACCGGAAGGAAATGACAGAACAAAGAGAGCTAGAATGTGGTCAGAATGTGATCGTAGAACGAGTACACCACTGGTGATGGAAATTGGCCCCTATCTAGAGTATCTTGTTTGTTTGTCTTTGTACGGTGCCACGCAACCTATACTCAACCATGTCCAGCTCACCAGCGCCTGCGCAACAGTATATCCTCGCAGATGATGACGACGTAAACGACGACGATATCCCTGGGTTTACCCATCCCAGTGTACATGGAGAATCTGTACCTTTGACTCCCGCTAGTAGGGCTCCTATGGAACCTGTCGTTCTAACACCCAACCCGGCGCTATCTGGCAACATTGGAAGTTCAAGCGGAACAGGCGCCCAAGGTCGCCCTGATAGTACTCGCCAACAGTATGGGGGCGTTCGGGTAGAAACGAGGTGCGTGAATATGGGCGTTGGTAGAGATTCATCAACTTGACACACAACCGTAGATATTCTGGAGTAGATACTTTGGACGAACCAGTTACAACCACCATTGTAAGGGAACTCTAAGCTCGCGATTATCATATCTGATGGAGAATAGGCTCGAGATCTCCTCTCCATCCATAGCAAACTCCTTCAAGTACTTTACCCTCGGAGAACTGGATCAGGAAGGGAGGTTTTAAGGTCGGTCAACAATCACCCCATACATTCTTCAAATGAACAACTTCTATTGTCAGGGATTGGGACCTCTGGGGACCTCTGATATTGTGTTTGGCGCTGGGAATTTTGTTAAGCGTCAACGTGAGTAGACCCATGAAATGTTATGCATGGTGGATTGACGCCGACCGGTATTACCAGGCTCCACCCACTCAATCACTAGGCGTGTTCACGGGTGTGGTAGTAATAGTTTCTGTTGGGTCACTAGTGGTTACCTTGAATGCTAAGCTCCTAGGCGGGCGAGTGTAGGTATCATCTATCCCGGGCTGAGGTACCGTTCTCACCATCACCTTACCTTCTAGTTCGTTCTTCCAGTCCCTATGCGTCTTGGGCTATTGCATCTTCCCACTAGGTGAGCATATTTAAAATTCGAGAGAATAACATTTTATCGGGATCGTAGTTCTGGCGGCCATTATCTCCACATTCATCCGAGTGCTTTATATCAGAGCCCCGATCGCCATTGGAGCCTGGGCTTGGTGTGTTTGGGGTGCGTCAGCTCGGTCCTATCGCTTTTTGCATACTTGGCTGAGCTTTACTCTTCCAGCTGCCGTAAACTTTCTCGACGGTACAAAAATAGAACAGCAGCGTGTGTTGCTTGCCGTGTATCCATTACTGTTCGTCGACTAGCACTACGTTTATGACTTTGGACTGACATGGACTCTGAACCCAGGTTGTTTTACTTTCTCCTGGCGTGGATGATCCTAATTCAATGAAAAGGCGATGCAGACGCACGCCGAGGATTGCCTCTCAAATTAGTACTTGTGTGATAGCCACCCCCTGCCACCAACTCTGCCTATACCCACAGCTCATGAACAGTATTGTTAGCATTCAAGCTGTGCAGCGAAATGCAGGTCCGTATTCCATGCTTGAGCGCAATATTTAATCTGTCCTCCCAACACGAGACTCACCTTTACTCCTGGGGAAGCTTACGCCACCTACCCCCATGGCGTCTGAATCTGTTGCCACTTTTGCTACTGACGCGGCCCTCATTCTAGTCTTTAACAAAGATAATCCGTCCAACTCGGCACTCACAACCTCTCACAACCGGGGACCATTGCTAAGATGGGAAAGGCATGGTCACAACCTGTCGGAAATCCGTCAAGGGGTCAATTGATGGCTGGGAGAACATCGGTCGTTGCAACTTGAGAGCAGCGTGATATCCTCAGCGATAAACTTGTACTTTTCGGGAAACCACTCGTAAGTGAGAGTAATCTACGAAGAAGTCTATCTTAACGTAAGTGGTACCAGCCACTTGACTCCAACTACTAATCAGGTTCAATCTTTAGGCGTGAGGTTTTCGGATGAGCAAGGACAAAGGTACGAATTGCACGGATATGGCGCTGGATTTCAGCTAGTAGTCAGTAAACACTTACAAAGTGCCTTCGGCGTCTTACGCATATATTTGTAGCTGCTTAAGAAAGGTGGAAATGTGACCATGGCGTTTCCAAGCCGTCTCGCCTTAACCAATATGCTGTCGCCAGCCATATAGACTCTCAGTGGACGCGGAGCTGGAATCGCTGGTCTTGCAGTTTTCACATTTCTAGTGGTTGAAAAGTAAT